GGAGGATATGGCAGGGGTTGGACTGGATCACTCTATGCATGCCCCATTTCGTAGAATCTTCCTAAGATTTTCTTCCTTTCCTGTGAAAGACAGGATACTGGGCTAGATGTCTATTTTGTCTGTCCCAGTATAGCATTTCTTATGTTTAACATGTACAAATTCCCACTGATTTGACGGGAGATCTATCCAGATGAGAAAAGCAGAACACAAACCAACATCTGCAATGCATGATGGAAGAGGGGAAGTTGTACGTAAAAACTTGTACCAACCTCAGGTTCCAAGTAATCTACATACATGAGAGTAGTCACAGCCCTTCACTGACTCACGGATTGTTGGTGTGGTGAGCCTCAAGACTGATCTTTCCTGCCCTGGTAAGCCCCAGAAAATACAGACAAAAAATTTAGCTGATACAGATTTCCCTAGTGGCTTGAAAAAATAATTCTAAGAAGCACTGATATTTTACAATGTAAGACAAAAGCCTTCCTGCTTTTATTAATAACAACAATTCTGCCTGCCCTTATATCAGCTGAAAGCTTTTCATTCCTGCTTAAGGGTTTTAAAATTATCCAGAATCAGATACAGCTGATACAGATACAATGGACAAATCTACTTTTTATCTAGTCTTCTCCCCAATAGATCAAAGAGTAAGCATGACTTCTCTTTCAACAGCTTGATGTGCAAACCCTAACCTTCTCACTGACTACAGGTAAAAACTGGAGTTTCTTTATTAGCCCTAATGTATGACTGTAAAACACTGAGCTGCTATGGCAATGGGTATCAACATAGGAACCTATTAATTCTAAATTATTCATCAATACTATCCTACACACACACACACACACACACACACACTTTCTTTAGCTGGCTATTTTACACCATCTCTCTGATGTTTCTTTGTAGTGAACTCTGCTTTTTAAATCCATGAAAGTCAAGAATCTATAACTTTGTGAAAGCATGTGTTGTGCTATCCTTTTAGACAAATGTTGGGACATAGTCAAATTTATGTACTATGTGAAAAGACACACTAAGTATATTTATATGCTGGCAACTAATATCTAGTTAGGAGAAAGAAGACTGATGTTACTATTTATTGAAAACTAACAGCGTGCTGAGGTCTGTATAAACATTGAAAACAGCACAATTCTGAAGTTTCCAGCTTTTTCTAAGATACCTAGCATTCTCACATGCTTTTAATTTTTAATGGCATCCTTGGCTGAAACCATGAAGCTCCTGAAATTACTTATAGCTATGCAAAAATGTGGATGCATCCCTTCTGAAAACAATAAAAGTTATATTCTTTTCCTTCTTACTTTTCACTCTCACATTTTTGAAAGCTTCCTATGCACATAGGTGAATGAAAACCCAAAAATGAAACCCAAAAGCTGCCATAATTCTAGAGATAAGGACAGGTTTGTGTTACAAAGGCAGTAAATAGGTATATACAAGGGGACATTGAAAGCCAGGGCTGGAAAGTACAGTCAAAGTTTCCCCAAAGAAAAATCCCAGCCAGGGAAAGTTTAGAAGCCAAATGATCTCACCCACCAGAAGCAAATGAAGTTTCAGTTTCCTTTTCCATATTTTGCTTTGTTGCTTTTTGTTTGTTTTGTTTTGAGAAAGCAAGCTTACATAAGTCCACAGGCCAGACTGGTCTGCTTGCTCCCATCAATGCCAGATTCAGTGCCCATTCTGGGGTGATTCTGGGGTTCATACTGTGTGTGGTGCACATCCCAGAAAGGCTGGGGCAGACATCATGTGCATTCTGGATCCTGGAATGGCCAGGGTGGGCACCATGTATGGCATGGATCCTGGAGAGACTGGAATGGGTGCCACACTACATGCTGGTCATGTGGAAACTACTTCAACCAGTTTGGATGGGGTGCCTTTGGATGTGTGTCCTGGGCCCTGCCCATGAGGTTGTTCCAGGTCAATTCAGAACCAGGGGCAGTAACTGGGATCCACAGGCTAGATCTGGTCCACAGACCTTATGTTTGACGCTCCCATTTTAAGTCATGCTGGCTAATATTTTTCGTAACATATTAGCTGCCTTGACTTTCTTGTTGGTCAAAATGTGTTAGTTAACATGGTTTTTTAACAGTTTTTTTCCCTTGTGTAGTCATGGGCTGAGTGGGAAGATTCTTCTCCCCCAGGAATAAGCAACAGGACTAAATTCCTGGGGGGGATTCTTCTCCCCCAGGAATTTAGTCTCAGACTAAATTCCAGCTCTTCTTTTAATAACTACATACTATGACTGACAACAAAAAGCCTTGTGAGAAGAGACACAAAAATCATTAGGCATTATGATCCTCTAGGTCACCTTGTAGGTCACCTTCTCCTACATGTTCTTCACCTAGGAAGGTAATTAAGGTGGGACATAATAGTTAGCAGTCTTCAAATATCAGAAGGGCTGCCGTAACGAAGACAGAGACTGACTTCTCCCTCACTGCAGCAGGCAGGACATGTAGCAAAATGGTCTGGCTAAAAAATGGCTGCTTGATTGTACTCAATGATTCCTTACTTGATTTCTTCTCCTTGAAAATTAATTGCAGTACAGATGTTCCTAGGATCTGATCTACAATCATGCAGTGTGATTGCAGATCAAGTACCAGTTTTACAAACCTTTGCCTGTGGTAGGAGTCTGATCTAAATAATTAGGGGTAGGGGGAAGGGTTGGCAGGATTGGGGGAGCTAGCGGGTCCACAGGGTGGGGGCTGGCTGGATCAAAGAGGCTTGTGGGTCTGGGGGGAAGGTCCAAGGGGCATTTGACAGGAACTTTGGTACAGTTTGGCACTTAGATTGACCTACTAGGGATCTAACTGTAAGGTCCACATGTTGGTGAAGTGAATTAGGTCAGGTGGCCATTTTTTGCATGACCTAACCTTCTAAATTTCTAAGTGTAATATATGCACATACCCAAAGTAGGTTTAGGCTGGATGTCAGGAAAAACTTTTTCACTGTTAGAACAGTGAGGCAATGAAACAAATTCCCAGGGAAGCTGTAGCATCTCCTTCATTGGAGATTTTTAAGAAGAGTTTGGGTAAGTATTGGTCAGGAAGGATTTAGGAACAGCAATGCCTATAGTATGATGTGAAGAGCAACAGCTGGAAGCCAGGAGATTTACCATAACTCATGTCTCAGAGACCATGAGAAGAGCTCTGCAGCCCAGAGCAGGTGAAAATTGGAGAGGACCAGGCTTGGCAGCAAGAGGATGAAGCAGAACTCCACAACCAGTCTGGTTATAAAAGACGATTAAAGGAGCCAGGATAAGTTTATGGAGAGGACAAGATGATAGAAAAGGGATTTTGAGCTCTCCAGTAATGGTGTGTGATGCATGGAGTTGTTTTCCAGTACCCAGAGTACAGTGCAGAGTGAGGGGTGTTTGGTTTTTCTCATGTTTTGGGGTGTTGCTAGTTGTCTCACAGGGCCAGGAAAGCATAGTCTCCCCCTTACTGTTGCTAAAGCTTTTCAGGGGAGTTTTGGGTTGCTGGTTTTTCGGGGGCAGGTTTTGCCTTCCTCAGAAGCATTATGTGCTGGCCATAGCCCAAGCTGGGGGTTTTGATAGGGATGTACTTCTGTTCCTGCTGGGACCTAAAAGTCCCAGAGGTTTCTAGCTAAACAGCCTAGCTCCTCTGGTCAGGGTAAGACTGATCACCTGGGATCAGGAAGGAATTTTACCCCACAGTCAGATTGGCAAGGCCTGTGAGTGCTTTTGACTTCTTTGTAGCAAGAGATATGATCTTCTTCCCTGGATTTTTTTTTACTGTATTTAACAAACTACTTGTTGTCCTGGCAGTGGCAGGATACTGACAATACCCTCATTCTCCTGCTTTACCTGTGACAAATTATTATTTTAATGTTTCAGACCTTATGCCTGGTAGTTGTGTGTGATGGTTGCTCCTGAAGTTTTAAGAATATATTAGACATACATTTTTCTAGGATGCCTTAGGGAAGAATGATCCTGACATAAGCAGGGGGTTGAACTAGATGACCTCTTGAAATCCCTTCTGATCCTACTTTTCTATGACTCTGATTCTACAATCCACCATGTAGAGCAGACTCACAAATCTACATTATCCAGTCTCCCTTTCTAGACTAGAAACTCCATTGTACTACATGTTCACCTTGATATGAGTTGACCAGGCACAGTCCATAAATCCCTAATCATTCCTGACAATCTTGTCCGCAGCAACATAGGCTAAGTTAGAACAAGTTATTTGATTTAGTAAGTGGACAGAAATAGCCCAAACCATTTACAAAAAGTAAGAAGTCAGCATCTTACAAAGTTCCATGATTCATAAAATGTTTATTTGAATAACCTCAAACTTCCTCAAAAAACTTCCACGGGGAAGGCTTGCACAGCTTGTAAGCAATGAGATTTTTTGTCTGAAAGTTAGAGAGCATGTCAAAACGAATCTGATGCCAGAAACTTTAACTTGTCTATGGAGGGAAATTTTACCAATCTAATTATAAATCTATTATACCAATTAATTTACCAATTTTTATATTTATACCACGACAGTTGTATAACTTCTCCTGAGCTTTGAATACAATATGAACAAAACCATACAAAGGTACCCTTTTTGTGGCATATGAATGTGCACAGGCAAAATTGTACTAGCGTAATAACAGCAGTGTACTTGACACCAGTTAAGCTGGTAAAATTTTCTGTGTAGACAAGCCCTTAAAGCCAGAGCATAGAGTCATAAAAGTTATAGAAGAAGATTAAAGCAGCCAGGATAAGTTTATGGAGAGGATAGGATGATAGAAAAGGGATTGTTAGCTCTCCAGTTACGGTGTGTGATTCATGGAGTTGTTTATCCGGTGTCAAAACCTGGGGGCTTACTAATGGGTTCTGAAATGCCATTGAACATGGTTTATTCTTGGCTGCACTTGCATTCAATTCCATCTGCTGCCTGCTCAGCAGCAACTGTTGCTGACACACATTGTCAGCAATGGGCAGTTTTGTTGTCGTTCAGCTCAGCGGCAGAGAGGAGCAGGGGGGGAAGCCCTATCTGCTAAAGGAAAAGTGGGAGAGCCCTAACAGGCTTAAGAGGTGGAGCCTGCATAATGTACCCAGGGGTTTTCTCTGTGAGGAGTGGATTTCAAGGGGATTCCCCAGCTGCCCCTCTCCAGAGGTGTTTGCTCAGTGGTAAAAGTAGCAGCTGCCTCCTTCTGCTCACACAGCTCCTCCTACAAAGAGCAAACTTTCGCTCCTCTTCAAGTCAAGCCAGCAGCCAGCCATGCCTTCAGTATACTACACCCAGCTTGTCATCCTAAGCAATGGTAAATGGAAAGCTTTTCATTTTTAATTCTTACTTTTTTCAGTGATTTTTATAGGGTGCTCTTTGGGAAACCAAGAACGTTTAGATTAATCTTTTACAATGTGTGTACTTGTGTCTTACAGTTTGGTGTTTGATTCATGCGGCTCCCCTGGCATTTTCAGAGATTGTGGTGACATGTGGTGAAGAAGCACTGCTGCCCTGTCAAGCTCCTCAGGATCCCCAAGTCACCTACAAGGCTGTGTCCTGGCAGAAAGTAAGTCAATGTTAAAAAAAAAAAAGAGGGAAAACTTAGAGGTAGCATTATCCAAGATGTGCCATGAGTCTATCTGAAAACTTAGAGCTAGCATTATCCAAGATGTGCCATGAGTCTATCCAGGGGTGCCTTGAGTGTAAAAAGTTTGAGAATCTAAAAAGTTTGAGAATCACTGTCCTACAGCCTACTGCTTCACTTCCTGCTCAACAGTCTTTAAGATTGCTCCCTTTGCTATACTCTTGTACTGATGTTTTAACTTTAGAACCCAGTGACATTGCTGTAAATCAGGGATTGACTTTTACTTAATAACACCTAAATTAGTATTTGCTGTTCTTTAGAAGGGTATGTTTTGGGAGAGATTGGGTAAAGGTCTGAGTTATCACTCTTTTGTTAAAAAATTTGTCCCTTAGACTCCCTGCTTCAGTATTGCTATTTGTAAACTAGGAGGATTCTGCTTATAAGTGTGGGTTAAAACAATATTATTCCAGGATGGTTTAGATAGGAATTCCTATAATCCTTCTGCAAACAGGGGCTTGAACTAGATATCCTCCTTCTAGCCCTATTTTTCATATGATTCTTACCAACTTATTTGGAGGGCTACTAAGAACAAGTAGAAATTGATTAATAAGATACTTTGAAGATGAAATTGTTACAGAAACAAAGGCAGCATTGTCCAATGGTTAGAAGGGCGACTTACTTTCTGCATGACATTATTTGGCCTCAGTTTCCTTATTAGTTAATTGGGAGAGAGTACTAATAATTCACTATGGTAAACTTTTTTGTTGTGTAAATGCTTTTGGTTCACGTGCAAGTCCTTCATTTACGCTGAGGTTCTGTGGTTGGAACAGCTCTATTTTAAGGTGGTTACCATAATAAACATCTATATAAATACCTAACTTGACCAGAATTACTCACATCTTCTTTGCTATTCTATCACTATCCTAATATTGTTTCCCTTAGAGGTTGGGTTGAATAGGAATGATTGCTGGAAAAAAAGGACCTTGGCACGGGGTCGGACTTGATGATCTGCTTAGGTCCCTTCCGACCCTACCAACTATGAAACCAACTATGAAACTATGAATTTTGTGGGTTTGGACAGTTTTCCTGTGAACACAAGATAAGCCTGTTTCTTTTTTGCCATCTGATTTCAAAGACTGGATAAACTTACATTTTACATATAAATATTGACTAATTAATTAACACCCCATGCTTCCTTCTGTGCCTATGCATGTCATGGAGACTCTAAAAGGCAGAAGTATAATTTTTCAGGAGTCTTTTTATAGGCAATCCATTTGGACCAGGTCACATGGACCTGAAGAAAGTGAACAGGGGCAGGCTGTCAGTGGGTGAGAATAGGTAGAGGCGTACGCCAGGCTTCTGCAAATGCTTCACCCAGCTGGCATAGGAAAGCAGTAGAAGTTAAAAAAAACTCCAGATAAGACATTCAGGGGTGGATACAAGGAGGAGTTGGTGCAGTTGTGTCCCTCTTCCACTGTGTAGCACAGTGAGCTTTCCTACCTGCACCAGCCAGCAAGGGAAACGGGGGTGGGTGGGGGGGTGGACAGGGAACAAGTACAGGAAGTGGGGTGGCACCCACTGCCACACTGCTGTCCGTGGATGAGCCTGGTTTCCCATGCAGTCACTCCCTGCAGCCCCTTTCTGGAGCAGGGCAGGAGTGGTCCTGGGGCTCCTGCTAGCCCCAGGTCAGCCAGGGATGTGTGGGTCTGCCTACCTGTACCTGCTGTCTGCCTGGCCCCTTCCCCAGTTTGTCCCATCTGCTCGGGGGTTCCAGCCCTCCCCCCACAATGGTCTGAGCTGCATTGCTGGTTGTATCTGCCATACCCCTCCATTTCTAAATACTAGATGTGCCTATGAAGATGCTGTACCACTTCCCTGCCTTTAGGCAGAAACCCTTGGGTCTAGGACAGGTTTAGGGGATCAGTCATGGTCAGTGAAGTACCTGGAAGCAGGGTCCTGCAGGAAGCATATTCTCCAGTGGGAGCTGGTGGGGCCAGACATCCGAGTCAAGAACTATCACGGTGGCAGAAGAATTCTTGGGAATCATTTTAGGTCTGATTTGCTTTTGTCCTATGGCTCTTTACACCTTTATGGGGGTGCAGTGAGGCTGTAAACCCAGAAGCACAGGTACTTGATGAACTGTTTGTGTATAGGGGTTCCTGGATGGCAACATTGCAACCTTCCTTTGCAATGTCCTGATAGGGAGGTGTGTTGGAGGCACAGCCTTGGGGCTAGAGTTTCTCCCCTGCCCTGTCCTTCTCGTCCTTTCCCTTTACTGTTCCCTCTCCCTTTACTTTTCTTTTTAGTTTATCCCCTCCTCACTGAACCCACCTTAAGAAAAACCCCAAAGCCATTCCCCTCTCCCTCCCCAACTGTGGTAATAACATACTCATTTTCTCTTCACACTGCTTGTATGTCCTGCTCTGTTCCACCCCTCTTTATCTACCTGGTCTATTCAGACTACATCTTTTATAATGGCTGTGACTGTCTGGTACTCTGTTTGTACAGTGCCTGCACCATTCTTGGATAGGCATTATCATAACAAACATGATTAATAATAATAAAAGCTCAGCTATTTTCAACTTATGCCATGGTTTTCTGGAAACAAAACAGCCAAGTGAGTGTTATAGCAAACTTACGTATCTATTTTTACTTCAGAGACTAATCATAGGGGTATGGGCTTAAAGCCACCAATGTCCCTACCTGCTTCTGTCAAAGAGAACTTGGCCAAAATGGCAACGGAAGCATCTAAAGTTTCAATTTATGACATCTCTGCTACTGTGTATGAGTTACACATGGAGAAGAGAGAATGGGTTCTTTAGTCACTTAGGTTCAGGTAAAAATGCGGCAAAATACTTACAGCTCTTAGGATATCTCTGTCCTTTCTTCCACTCGGTTAACTGAGTGTTACTGTCACCATTCACAACAAGGCGGGAATCAAACAAACAAACAAACAAACAAACAAACAAACAAACAAGAAAGAGGCAACCAAATATAGAATTAATCTGCTATTTAAAAAAAAAAAAAAAAGCTTCCAAAGGATTAATCAATAAACACCACATACAGCTCCCAAAGGGCTAATTAAAAAGTAATTCCAACAAATGGCATGAAATTTCAGCCTGTAAAGTTCAAACAGCTGCTACGCTTAATCTTTTGTATGAGGTCACCTTGAAGTGTGCAGTAAATGTGAGCAATTAACCTGTGGCTTCTGCTGCTTTTTTTTTTTAATGATGATGATGTGACAGTGCAGTGCATTCAACTGTTTGTGGAGAAATAATGCTTGGATAATACATCCCTAGGATATGATTGCCATTTCCTGACAATGTCAGGGCACTTTAAAATATTTTCTAGGGCCTGTTTTAAAAGATGCCAGCTTAAAATATTAGGGTCTTATCTGAAAAAAAACAAACAACCCTCCCTCCCCCATCTTTAAAAGCATCGTGTGTCAATCTAGCATTACTATTTTAGTATAAAAATCAAGCGAGGATAATATGGCAGCACTTAAGGGGTCAAAGTACAGCTTCAGGGCTGGGTCCATACACTGACGCAGCCAGAGGTGTGAATTTGAACCCTGCTTTGGACTTGTGCTGCAGGCTGCCCCCCTGGTTAAATAGTGGTCTGCTCACTCAGGCTGGGGACTCAAAAGCAGTCAAATGTGATGCAAGTCACAACTCACCTTTGTGACTAGGGACAGACATTCAAAAAGCCTTAACCTGAATTGATTCCATCTTTGCAGGTTAGTCTAACCTGGCTAGGCTAAATCAGTTTTGTAACCAAACAGATATCCTAGAAATGCAGGCACATGCATGCAGTGGCTCAGGCTAGAAGCCGGGGGGGTGGGGTTTCTAGAGCAGCCCTCCCTTCCCTTTCACAGAGCTGAGCTGAGGGGGGCATGGCCAGGCTCTGGTAGGACACTATGATTCAATCAGGTTTATCTCAAACCAGTTTCAACCATTTTCAAACTGGTTCCTGTGCACTGACCATCTGTTCTGTTACAGGTTTAAACCAGTTTCTGATCACTTACGTGTAATGTCTGTCCCTAGCCTGTGTGTCCTCAGTGGTAGATGCCGGCATGGCGTAATCATGCTAGCCTGATGGGCTGTTAGGCTTGGGCAAACCTTGACTTCGACTAAGCACTACAACTTTCTTAGGCTGCAAACAACTATACTTGTGGATAATTCAGCACACAGGTGATCACATAGAAGCCACAAAGTTATACAGGTGCACGAGCAAAAGGTGCATCAGGCCTTAAGTCAATTAGCTCAAGTAGAACTGTTTTTATTCAGATATTTGAGAAAGTGGAGCCTACTGGGTTGAACACAAATTTGAATGGCAAGAGTGGTTATGCTCTGTTCCTGGCTCTGTTACCAAGCATTGTGAAGTTTTCAGCAAGTTACTGAGAGCAAACTTTTCATAACAGAAGTGCCCAAAGTTGAGTAATTACAGAAGTGTTATCTAGTCTTTCTGGGATGCTAAGCACCCCTAAGTCCTGTAAAGTCGCTGGGAAATGATCGTGTTCACTATCTGAACATTATGTCACATTACCTGAGTGCCTTACCTGAACTGAGTGCAGAAATGAAGTTCCTTGTTTCTGTGTTCCATCTCTGAAACAGAACTGTGAATAATAAAACTTAACTACTTGCCTTGTTGGGCTGTTGAGGACTTGGTAGCTGCTAGTTATACAGTAAGTTGAAAATATAAAATATGCTGTAACAATTAAGACCTGTTACCTATTCAGTTAATTTTAAACAGGATGTGAATACATGCAAATTTGAATCTAGTGGGTGTTTGGATATCTCATTTATTAGTGCTTCACCTATGAAAAGCCTGATCTAACAACCACTTTTGGTGAGGAGGAGAAAAGCTCATTTTTCAGTGGAAAAAGAATCCAAATCTGCAGCACTCCCACAGAAATGAAGCAAAAGAAAAGCAAGATCTGTGCACTTCAGTATGCTTAGATTCTTTCAGAAGCAAAATGCTTG